TAGTCATTTGTGTGCTTGCTTTTTCTTAAAGTAGGAAAATATTTTAGAAACAATATTTTATCAACAGTCATGGAGTAAAGCTATTCCTAGAGGTCCACTAGATTTTTCTTATACCTGACCAGCTTCCCTGAAGACAGTGGAATTTGTAATTCCAATTCAAGATAAAAAAATATATTCAGGCTGAAAGGCGCCTAGTGGTTAACTAATCTTCTAAACCTCTTATTTCCAAATTTCAAATATATCAAGTTATATACTATATAATTTATAAGATCATGTTATAAAATGTTTAGCATTATAGAATACTTAAGCAGTAGGTTCTATCATTGTTATTATTATCGGAGAAATAATTCTGGATTCTCAAGTGTTTAGTCATCTAGTCATTCAGCACATATATTGTGTTGCCAGAAAAGTCATGATGTATTTTTACATAGAAAACCAGAGAAAAAAATACATCATGACTTTTCTGGCAACCCAAAACATTGAGCAGAGCAATCTTGAATAGAGGCATGAGGTTTCTGAGTCTTTTTTTTTTTTTTTTCATCTGCCTACAGGAAAGACTAATACCTTCCCTCCACAGTCTAAGTATTTGCAAATTAGCTGCAGGTGTGTTCATGAACCACTTTGTGGAGATTATAGTGCTGAACAAATTGTTACTACTGCTTAGTTATAAATTTAACTGAGAACCTTTTAGAAATATTTATAACTAGAGTTTTAAAAGATGCCTGAGATACCCCCAAGTTACATAGAATTACCTTCATTAGGATTTAGATTTTTCTCAAGCTCTAGCTCATCGGATGAATTAAGTGCCTAGTATTATCTCACCAAAATATTTAGGTAAGTTTAGAATAGTTTTCCTTAGATACCTGAAGTTTGTCTGGAGGAAGGACCCTGGGACACGCCTGGGCTGGAAATTGTCCGCACTTACCAGCACTGTGTGGGTGAGCATGCGTTGCACATGGGTAAGGGCAATGGAAATCCTCTCACCCCTGAGGTCCCTAAAAATATGCCAATAGGCAGATTAATAAGATAAAAAGAAAACAGATTTATTTAATCATAGTTTTAAGTGACGAGAGCCTTCAGACTGAAGACTCAAGGATATAGGGAAGCTTTCTGATTTTATGCTTAGTTTCAATGAAGTAGGGGCAACCACGTAGAAATGTGATTGGACGAAAAGTCTGAGCTAATGGAAAAAGACTAGCAAGACCTGTGTAGACTCTTCCTGGCCTTTCTGTTCAGCATTGCTTTCTCCTGGGTATGGGGCAGGATTCCTCTGAAATGAGAATTTTCTGATCTGATATCAGACAAGGTAGGTCAGAGAATGTCTTTATATCCAACTCTTACACAGAAAGGTGAGGGACGCTAGAGCAATATGAGTAGACTTCAGAAAGTTTGGAGAAAAATTGAATTAAAGTACCAGTTTGTTTGTTGTGGGAAAAATAACAAAATCCTTGTGTAGTTTTTTTGGAGTGTGCCTTTTTCATGAATTTTTGAGGATCCTGCATATTTTTCATTTTATGACTGGCTTTAGGGGAAAAGAGTTAAGATTTCTATGAACTGCCTTTGGGAATAAGGATTCTAGTTTCTTGAGCTTGCCTTAGGAGAGAATAAGAGGGAGAAACTAGGGCAAGAAAAGGTCAGAGAGAAATTCTTTCTGCAGCTGCATAGTGTACCCCCTAACATAAGCTCCCCTGGAAGACATTGATTGTCTCACAGAACATGGTTGGGGTGGTTCCAGACTGGTCTAGAGGTTGGCCTCAGAGATCAGCTCTTCACCTCTGTGCTGTATTATCTTCTGCTGCTTGCCTTGAGCTCGAGGCATATCTCTTCATAGCTGCAAGATGGCTACAACTGTTCTGGGAAATACACAGGCCGACAATGGACCGAGAAATGGTCGTTTGGAGGGCCATCCCCATGGTCTAGTGGTTAAGGCAGACAGATTCCACATGGCTGACGAGACAGTTTGAATCTCAGCTCTGGAGGCTTGAAGAACACACCGAGTGCCTGCATATGCATGCGCCCAAGTCCCAACAGGATGGAGAGATGGAAAAGAGATTGTGTCGTGACCATACCCCATTAGGGAGAGGCTTTCTCCCTTTCCCTCTCTCTATCTCTGTCTCTCTCTCTGGTGACTGTATGTACCCTTTGGCAAGAAAAAAAATGAGGATAGTTCTGTGTGTCTTAGTGAAAGAGAAAGCCTTTCCCCGAATCTCCCAGTAGACATTTCCATGAGTCCATGTCCATGGAGTGCCTTGTTTCCCCCATCTAGGTACAAGGACATTATCCTAAACTTTTCCCCATCTTCCTTATTCCCCTTTCTTTTCTGACATTCTGTTTTGTTTTGTTTTGTTTTGTTTTGTTTTCCAAGTTTGCTGTAGGGTGTGTGTGCTTGCAGAGATGGAGAGAGAGAGAGTGAGAAATCAACCCCCAAGGAGAATAGCCATGCCACAATTCCATCTCCTCCGTTTTCCTCTCAGGATTTTGGTCATGGCATGCACACACACACGGTATGTCTTTCAAGCCACTGGGTCCAGAACTCAAACCAAGAAGTCGGCCATGTGAGATCCATTTGCTTAACCTCTGTGCCACCTGTTGGCCCTCCAATCTGGTTTTTAAAAATATGTTCCCTACCCTCTTT